CAAGGAGAGTTAGGTGCCTAAATACCTCTGAGGCGCTAGGGCAGGGTCACTTCTTAGCAAGATGAGGCTTTTGACATAAGTGGCTGCATTGGGGCCTGCTCTTTAATCTCTGCCTAATCATCTAACGGAGATTGGTTGGTCATGATCCAGAAGCACCTCCACAGGGAGAAGATTTCTTATGATAGAGGCCCTTTAATCTAGCAGGCAAAGGTGTAAGATCCATTGGCTGGCTGCTGAAGGAAGGGACAATCATAGTATTAAAGACAAATTCAAGCTGGAAATGAGGTGGAAATGTTTAGCATTGAGGAGAACCGGCCATGGGGTCATGGTAGATGGTCCATAACACGGAATCTTTAAATCAAGAGTGGATGGCTCGCTCCAGCGGTACCATAAACTGTTGGGCCGGATGTAGGAATCACAGGGTGAAATGCTCCGGCCTCTCAGGCAGGAAGTCAGATTAGATTATTTTTTACGTCTCTTAATCTAATCTGTCTAAAGTACTTCCTCAACAGCCAGTATTGTGATATCCAGGATCTATCTACACTGGAAAGATGGGCCTCTCCCATCTAGGAGATCCCGTGCGTCGCCCCTCCCTCCCCCCCAATAAGCACCCAGAACTTTGGCTCCTCCTCCAACCCCTCTTGGCTCTTGCAAAAGTAATTTGGATGTCTTGAGAGAAAAATCTCTCGCTGGAGATTTCTGTGGAGGAATTACTAATCCACACGGGCTAGTTTAAAGGTGCCATGCTGTCAGTGGATGCTGCAAGGGGTCCTCAGTAGCCAATCGGGGCTGGAGAGGGAGATGGTATTTAGTCAGTAAGCTCTTTGGAGGCAGGACTCTTATAATAGTAAATCTGGGGCACGGGCAGTGGTGGTGAAATGAGGCTCCCTATCAATCGTAGCAGGACAACATGGCAATAGCACTTCGCTCCAGTATAGCACTTTTATCAGTAGGTCTCCAACTGCTTTCCAACACTAGTCAGGATCATTAGGCTCACTTTACAGATGGGGAAACTGAGGCACGGAGAAGTGAAGTGACTTGCCCAAGGTCACTCAGCAGGGCAATGGCAGAGCTGAGGATAGAACCCGGGTCTTCTGAGTCCAGTCCAGCGCGCTGTCCAATTTTCAAAGTGCAGCAAAGTTTAACGAATGCCTCAGGAGCCCAAGTAGGCTGAAAAACAGCCCCGACCATCTCTCTGAAGCACCGCGCCGCCTTTCAGATGAGACGTATACCCGAGATTGTGATCGCGTGCAATGATTTAAAGATCCCCTGGCGTTCTTTCCAACGTCCTTGAGCACAGACAGCACAGCACGCCCCAGAGGCAGCTGCATTTCAGCAGCGAAGGACGTAGACACCGTTTGCAACCAGAAGTGCCCAGGACCGCATAATCTGCAGGTAGCCTGGTTTGAAGTGTTGTGGCCCATGACAGCCGGCAGGTGGCAGTGACACACCACTAACCTAAATTAATCCTCACCTCCCCAGAGAGAATTCACATTGGCCAATGCTCCCAGGGTCTCAAACACGAACTTAACCATGCGCCCACACACACACTGTAGTGCTCTGGCTGGGCAATACCATTTCCTTAACAAAGGGGTGAAAGGGAAGGATGGTATTTGCCATTAAATAGAGGAACAAAAAAGGGAAGGTCAATTTTTTCACCCACTGTGTCATGGTCCCTTAAGTTTCTCAACCTCGGGGCAATAGTTAGGCCAGAGCAGGTGCAGTATTGTTTCCATTTGCTGATTGGATAGAGGAAAGGGGCAAACGGATGTTTGAAAATTCACTGCCACTGCAGACAAGCGGCAGTGAAACACACCCACACACGGGCACCGGAAGTATCATCTCGTGCTTCCTGACATAGGTCGCAAAGGCCCAGAGCCTCAAAACCTTCACTTCATGGCTGTTTGAGAACCTTTGAGGCTCTGGTCCAAAGTCAAACGCAGAAGGGTTGGGTATAGAACCCAGGAGTCCTGAGGCCCACTCCCCTATGCGCATCATTCGCTCATAGGGCCCTCCCAGTGGGAGAAGTAGAACCCAGGAGTCCTGATTCCCTATGCCTGAAAAATGACGCCAGTGGGGCTGAAGAAAAGCTATTAAAACATTTGATCACTTATCCCCAAAAGCACAGGACTGGCCAGATTTGCAGATTCCCAGTCACTTACCTGCAAAACCACCAAGGCCCAGTGTGAGCTGCACGTAACAAGAGTGCAAGCTGATTTTACAAAATCTGTAATGGGGCTGGGGTCATTGGAGCTTTCACAGCAGCAGTATCAAATTATACGACAGGGGATGGAGGAGACAATCGGTGCGTGTCTGATCTGCCACTTTAAAAGAAAAAAAACATCTAAAACGGACTAAACTGCAGAGATAGCCAACTGATAAGGGTGGAAGGGGAGTCATCTGGCATTAAACTCATAAACACATGGCTCTAATGTTCTTCCCACACACCCCATCACAGCAGAGTCATTCGAGGTCTCAATTAAATATTTATTACAAAGAATCAAGCAAATGGGATAACGTTACCCCCTCCCCGAATGAACAATAATAAATAAATAAAATACGCTTTTAAAATAGTTTGTTAGATGACATAAATACAGGACGGTTCGTTGCTTTCAAGTGGCTTTGCTCACATTCGGGCTGTGCGCATTTCATAGACACCTTCTCCCCGCCACCCTCTACTGGGTTCCATAGTGTATCATAGGCCCCATACTGCCAAAGGAGATTCTCCTGTAGTTCAAATGGTAGAGGCCTGTGTGCTGAGTCCTAGGCCTGCTACCACCATGAAGCTATGAGCAGTAGCACAGAGAGCCATGAAGTGCAGTATCTACAATACACTGATGTGGCTAGAGCTTGCGGATTTCATAGCGCTTAGTGGAGGTTCATGTGTTATCCCCCCGTTTACAGAAAGGGGAAACTGAGGCACAGAAAAGGAGTGTGGCCTGACAAAATGGCAGAGCTAGGTGTGGACCTGAGGCACCCCAGGTCCCTGTTCTAACCACTAGGCGGCACTGCGGGAATCACAGACAGCTGCCAATCAACCTCAAGAGGCCACCGAAACCCGGACGGTGCTGCACAATCAGGGTTTATAGTGAATGCCAGATGTGGGACTGGTCAGCCCATGGGTCTGGTCTAAGGCAGGGCTCCCCTGGTGAAGCTTCCAGTGATACCCCAATGGGGGGGGGTTGCCCCCACCCCCTACGGACTCTAAGAGCAAAGCTTAACATTCCCTTCAGGCGGAGCAGGGGTGGGCTGGATCCACAGCCGCCGGGCAGGGCAGGGAGGCTGGCACAGGCCCCTCCAGGCGCACACGTGATGTGGGGGGTGTCCGATGGGCAGAGCGCCAGGGAACTCACATCCAAGAGGCGCTATGCAGAGCCAGGTCCTGCCCATGTCCCAGCTGGTGCGTGGCAGTGGGGAGGACAGACACGTGCTTACATACACACACACGGACGCACCATGGCCGGACAAGACAGGACTGGACACACATCAGACAGCCACAGGGACGCAAGACACGGCACGGGACAGGGAAGGGGCGCTGGGCAGCCATGACATTTCATGTCAGCCCAGGTTTTGGCACCAGGTGGGGAGGGGGGGGGGGGGGGGCGGCAGTCCCCAGAAAGTCAGAGATCTGGGCTGGATCCATCCAGATCCCTTTCACCCCACCCTCCTCCCAGCTTCCACCATCCCAGGCAGCATGTGGGGAACAGAGCCCCAGTGGGGAGGGCAGGGAAGGGCCTGGGCCTTTGGGTAGGAGCCTGCTGGGGAGCTGCAGGCTCCGTCCGGGATAAAAATACCCCAGAAGTGAAGGGTCCCAACAGGCAGGACCATGAGCCCTGGTTCCCACCCCAGAAGTGGGCGCAAGAGAACAGGGCAGGCCAGAGCTGAGTCTCAAGAAGCTGTTAACACCTCCCCTCTCAAGCCAGCTGGGAGATACCGCCCCCGCCAGCCCTTCCCCGCCTTGGGGAGTGGGGGACATTACAGCCAGGGGCGCTTTGCCCTCAGAAATTAGGGTGTCAACCTGCCCCTCCTGGCCCACTTCAGGCTTAGGGCGCTCCGCCCAGGCTACCACACAGCACTCACATGCGGGGAATGCCGCACGGCTCAGCAGGCAGGGTGGACGCGTTCAACACAGCCACCCCATGTCGGGTCCCTTACGGGGCACACTCATGGCAGGCCCCAGTGCACACCCCACATGCATGCATCGCCCCCTCTGCTCTGTCTTGGCAGGCGAAATTGAGCTGGGGGAGCTGCCGGCTGGGCCTGGACGGGGCCGTGTGGTCAAAGGGCTGGGTTGTTGTAGGCACTGGACCGCAGAGGAGATTCCTTGGCGCTGGGCAGGGACCCCGGGAGCTGGGTTCTCTCCACCGATCGGAGGCGCCGGCCGTCCCACTCCCCTGGCGGCTGGGTCATTGAGAGCACCATGGAAATACAACGGGATGGGGAGCGTGAGCGGGAATCAGAACAGGGCCGGGAGTGAGGAGGAGGTGGCTGCTTCGAGGCAGCCCCAGGACTGATCGGTTACATACCAGGGTTGAGCATGCTTTCCTCCCCGGGGGTGCCCTGCCTCAGGGCATGGTGCCCCATGCCACACATCTGCATGTGAGGGGGGCAGGCAGGAGGGAGCAAGCTGGGTCCCAGTTTGGTCAGCTTTGGGGGCGGGGAAAGCCCAAGAAACACTGGGCTGCCCCTCCCCCCCAGTCCCCTGAGGGGTTTAAGGTGGGAGTGAATCTTCACTATCTTATGGGAGATGAGAAGGGCCCCTCTGGGGGCTGAGTGGGGAGCACCACTGGCAGAGGGGCCCCCCGGCACTGCTGGCAAGAGATCCCCATGGAGGAGGGGGGAGCATCATACAATCTCAGGCCAACCCTGCTAGGGGGCATGAAACAAACCAGCCTCACAGGGGGGCGCTATACTCAGAGGAGAGAGATCCCCCATCGGATACACTGAACCCCCCCCAGTAGATAACGCCCCATCCCAGGGGCCCCTAGCTGACCAAAGCCCCACCCCCTGGGACCCCTAGCAGCCAGGTGCCCCATCCCCTAGCGGATGTAAACGTCCCGCCCCCAGCCCTCCAGGTCATTCTTGTTCCGGCTCATGGCCTCCTCCTCATTGGGGCAGTAGCGGTCACGCCCTTTGCTCCGGCCCCGCAGCTGCCGGTTGTGGTTCTGGTGGTCGGGCTCGGCCTCGTCCCAGGAGCCCTGGCGCTGGTGGAGGTGGTGGCGGCCCAGGCCCCGGGGGTAGGCGCCGGGGGTGCCGCCGCGGGGCTCGGGCTCCTCGTAGGGGTCCGTCTCCATGTCCATGCAGGAGTCGCCCGGCTCGGTGTAGGCAGAGTCACGGCTGCCCTGGGTCTCCGAGTCGAAGGTGTCCTGGCGGGACAGGCCGCGGTTGGCCAGGCGAGCGTGCTGCTGGCCTGGCCGCCCCTGGCCGCGGTTGACCAGCTCCCCCGGGTAGTCGTGCAGGCTGGCGCGCTCCCCCTCACGCGTCTGCTCCCCATGCACTAGGTAGGGTCCCTGGTTAGGAGAAGCAGCGACAAACCATGCGAACGGGAGAAGACAAGGCAGAGTTAGTCTGGCCATCAGGGGGCGACAATGGCAGCTCAGTACCGGTTAATACACACGTCTATCCTCAAGACAGCGAGAGCAGCCTCTGGCCTGCTGATCCCAGGTCCCCAATCCCAGTCTGGGCCACAAGGGAGATGAAACTATGGGGTCTCAGCCCAGCCCCTGGGGAGGTTATACCTGTAATGCTGAGTGTGTGGGATGGTTTGCAAAGGTGGGGTTCAGGGCTGGGATGCAAGGGCTGAGGGTCAGGACTGAGAGGCAACTGCAGAGCTGTGGGTGAGGGAGGCCCTGGACTGGAATAGTGGGGGTGGGGGGTTGTGGGCGGGACTGAGGGGTGCTGGTGGGGCAGGAATATGGGGCACCGGCAGGGGGGAGTGTGGGGAGCCCTGGACTGGCATAGTGGGGGGCTGTGGGATTGAGCGGCGCCGGTGGAGTGTGAATGAAAGAAGCATGCCCGGCTCCCGCCTGCCCAAATGAGGAGGAGGCCATGAGCCACAGCTCTTCAGCTTTCCAACGAGCATTACAAACGACAGACACCACGACACAACCATGCCCTGACCTCCCCCACTCTGACCAGGGCGGGGCACGACTGGGGGCAGTTCCCAGGCAGCTGGAGAATCTCCACTTGCACTTATGGGGTGGTGCCCACGGGGAACCAGCCACTCACTAAGGCAGCAGGCGGGAGCAGACAGAGGAGCCAGACAGGCCGGATCCCGAGGGGCGGGCACAGACATGGTGTGTCGGGGTGCCCTTAACAGAGGCCTGTGAGCTCAGTGCTCTCGGAGACCAGGGGCAGCAGCCTGCAGGCAGGAGTTGGGATGCCTCGGGGGTGGGGGACTTCAGGGGACAGCACGAGGAGAGGAGATGGGAGAAGGAGCCCAGCTTCCTAGCCAGGGTGAGGAAATTGTCAGACGCTTCCTCGCTAATGGCTCCCACCTACACTAGCGGGGAGGGCGTTGCAACAAGCCGTTGGCCGAGGGGACGCCTGGCACCGCACGACAGCCATGCCGGGGTTTCTGGCTCAGCTCTGGCTGCGCTGGTGCTGCCCTCTGATGTGGACAGGGAGTCACCCCCCTGCCCCAGCACTGCCCCGTCCTGCACTGCAGAGCCTCGTGTTCGGAAATCACCCAGCAGCCTTTGCTCCCCCTCCGGGAACGGTGCTTTGGGAATCCCAGAATGCACTGTGCCGAGGGCAGAGCCCAGCAGGGCCACGGGTCCCACGTTAGAGGGGTGACTGGAAGGAGCCCCGTGCAAACAGGATCCTGCGCTAGAGCCGGCTGACGGGGTCGACCTAGCTCTCCGGAGCAGGCAGCTTTTATGCAGAAGCCTGGGGGGCAGACGGGGTGGGGGAGGCCGATGGCAGCATGGCACTTCCTGGGCAAAGCCCGGCTCCCTGTGATGCAGCTACAGTGCTAGGGCACTGCATGGGGTGCAGATCCCTCCATGTTCCCCCCATGGACGTGATGCCCCCAGTTCCTGAGCCTTAGAACGATGCTGGGCGAGCAGAGGGAACCCCTCCATGTGCAGGGCACACGGGGCAGCGGGACAGGGGGGCAGCAGCAGAGGCGGGGGTCGGGGGGGATCAGCCGGGGTTTCCCATGAAGATTTCTTCCTCCACGTTCATTGAAGGCGCCACCTCCTCCTCCTCTTAAAGCTACAGCGCGTGCTCCTCCACCCTGGGCTGGGCGCTCAGCCCCTGCTCCAGGCTGCCCTTCCCGCCCCAGAAGCCCAGGTTGCGCTTGAGGGAGGTGAGCACCTGTACCTGGAGGTTGGAGACGGGGGCGGGGCTGGCGGCCAGGGCGGCGGTCGCCATGGTGCGGTTCAGGAGGGGATTGGGCGGGTTGCTGCTGGGCGGGTGCGTGGCCTTCCAATAGGCTTCCAGGTACTCAGCCAGGTGCTCGCAGGCATCTTCCAGTTGGTTCTCGTCCAGGATGATGTCAAACATTTCCTGCAATGAGAGAGGGACGTGAGGTGGCCCAGCTGGGGGTGTGGGGAGGGGCAGAGGGCGGGGCCTTGGCCAAGCTGGGAGAGTGGGGAGGGGCAGGGCAAAGAAGGGTACTTGGTCAAGCTAGCAGTGAGAGGCAGAGGGGACAGGTAGTGGGGGTATAAGCTGATCAGGGCCGGCTGTGGGACAGATATTCATTGGCGGGGGGGGGCAGGGACTTGGCCCAGGCTGCGAGTATGGGGCAAGTGGGGCGTGGCAGGTATTCTGCCAAGCCAGAGGTGTGGGGCAGCGGTGTGGCAAGCAGAGGATGTGGGGTGGGTACTCCCTGGCTGAGCCGGGGGCATGGGGCAGTTGTGTGGCAGGGAGAACGGAGGGGTAGGGGGTGGGACAGGCTGTGGGGCAGGTACTCACCGGAGGGCACTGTGCCAGCTTATCCGACGCCACCATCTGCACGTTCAGGTGCTTGGCCTGGGACTTCCCCCGGGACTTGACCAGCCTCTGGAGCACCTGCAGGGGGAAGGGGCAGGAGATGAGCGCAGGTGAAGGGATCAGGAGTTCCTGGGGCATCCCCCGCTCTCTGTTCCTCTCCAGTCCCGAGGGGAGGGGCTGGGCACGGGGGGGCTGACTCAGGGCGAATGAGGTATCATTGCTGCTCGGGCCAGGGTCTGAGCCCAGAGCTCAGACAGGAAAGCAACTCTGTCCCTTTAAGATGCTGGGTTCCCCAACCCCCAGCTCTGCTGATGCCCCTCAATCCCGACCCGCAGCCCGCTGCCAGCCCAGCCTTGGGCCTCTCTTAAGCAAACACTACTGTGTTGAACATGGAGAAATGTCCCTTAGAGGACAAGGCTGAGACCCTACAACTCATTGCACTTGTGATCTAACCCTCCCCCCGCCTTGCTCTCACCAGGGGACAAACCAAAACCCAGATCCCACGTGCCCGGACCCTGGGGACGTTTGAATCCGGGATGAGCGGCTTGAGCTTGTCTTCAATCCTGAGGTCTCGTATCGGGCCGGGTGTGGGACGGACCCCCGGGCGGCGGGAAAGCTGCCCAGGCTGACTACAGCCCCACACATGGAGCAGGGTCCCCACACACATCGGCCCCACACACAGAGCAGCTGATTGTAGCACCAGCCGCTCTGAGCACGGGGGCATCGGTGGGACAGCGATCTTGTTCTGCTCCCCCCAACCCATGGCGCCTGCTGGCGTGACCCTGCGGCCATGGGGCGGTAGAAAGGGATTACACGTCGGCCCCTGCCATGCCGTGGGGTCAGGCAGCGTGGCAGGGAGCTGTCTGGACTGGTCCCCAAGAGGTTTACGGTTACATACCCAGCCCACACCCATGGCCCCTGCAGAGCGCATACCCCAACCCTGCGCTCCGGGGGAAAGGTCCGTGGGGCATCCCCTCTCTCTGGTACCCACTGGGTTCCCAGCATGGGAGGATCTGGGCAGCAAGTCCCCAGGCTGCAACACAAAAGCAGGCCCACCCCCTGCAGGGTCCAACGCACCCACCTTGGGGGAGGTGATCTT